CGGGCTGTAGAGAGAATCAGAGCAGAAGCAAGAGCATCACAAGGTCCTCAGTCATGGTCAGCTAGTCTCTGGTATGAAGAAGCCGCTGGAAATCTCCGTTCAGGTCTCAGCGGCTGGACCTGTCCTCACCTTTAACACAGCATGGCATATATAAACCAGACAGCAGGACTTCTGGAGGACCAGTGTGCTTTTCATGTAGAGGAGTACCATAAAGTTTTGCAGAGGTGGAGAAATAGCGGAAGAGTGGTATGCACGGCAAGTAAGAAAGATATATATAAGTCCACCTCCATCTACTTAGCGCACAAATTAAACCAACTTGTCAGTGAACATTTAGAAATCATCGCTTGGGTCTCAGCGGGCCTTGCTGTTTGAACTGCAGTGTAGGTAGGCACTGTTTATCCTGGACCGGGCCCTTGATTGAAATGAGGAATGGAGGAGAAAAAAAAGAAAAAGAAACGTCTCAGTCTCTCGGTGGTCAGCCACAGCCTCCTCATCGCAGCCTCCACCAATGATCTGACATTCCCCTTTTTTGCAATTTTATGTAATCACAACTCCAAGAGCTATTTTTAATGTGTGTTTAGGTTGTGCGCACGCCATTCGATATTAAACATTTCCCCTTATTACTTAAAGGCTGACTTTATTTTCCCTCAAAGCTGTGACTCCAAAAACAGCTGTCCAGACACCACAAGAAAGGGCCTTAAGTCACTGGAAGATGTACATACCACCGCTGGACTCCAAAAGAAAAATATCTACTTTTCATTAAGATTATACCATACCGTACCTTACCAAACAATTCACATAGAACATCAACATCCTCTTGGCGACGCGTTGGCGTAGATTAAGTTTCTGCACTTCCATGAGTTTTGGACTGTGTTGAAGCGAACCTCCTCCACCATGACTCTTGCTCCATTCTATGGCTGCAGGTCACCGTCCCGCCTCGGCAGCGCTGTAAGGAGATATTTACGTTCACACCAGCGGCACAGCAGCCAACAGAAGCTGATTGCAAGTGGTGTTTGTTTCCAATGAAAGCATGTTAATTCGGGCTCGGCCGCAGTGTAAACTACCTTGGCATTTTACAGATGTCGCCTGTTAAAGTGAATCACTGTACCTGCCTGTTTGCCCCGGCCTGGGCCGTTCTGATGCCACGCCAGAGAGAGTACACAACACGAGCCAAAAGGGCTATTAATAAGCCCTTCCTTTTCTAATACTGTAATACCTCCATGTGTGTAATGTCTGCTCTGGGCTAATTATGTCACGTCATTTTTAGCTTTCGCAGAGAGACGAATACAGACAGCCTCACAGCCTCAGTCTGAGTTAATTTTAACTCATCTTAGGTATCATTATCCCCCAATATTTTTCCAGAAATACTCTGTAGCAAGAAATAATTTTCTATGAAAACAGTCCACTGCGCAGTTCATCTGCTGTGACAAAGCGAGGAAACAGCCCGCCGCATGCAGCAGCAGTGCATTACACACACTGTGTTAATAGCATGTGTAATTTTAAGCATGTCCCAGCACATGATACCTCTATTATGTTTCTGTGAGAGCTTGTGATAACAAAGTGAGTCCATTTGAAGGTGTGTGGTCCTGAGTGGTAGGAGAGAGAAAGTGTCTGGCAGGGTGGGCCATCGACCACAGTCCTCAGGGCAGACCTTGGCCAGAGCTCAGAGTATGGCCAGGCTCTTGAGCTCCGCACACACACAAGTATAGCAAGTGTAGTATACGGCCACCAGTGGAGAACCAGAAATGAATGAAATATTATATTCCAGCCTTTAACATTATTACCTTCACATTAAAACATTTTTTTGACAGCAAGGAGCACATATATTACAAAATTGTCTGTGCAGCAAAAAGAAAGCCCATCCAAGCTGACCTCCCTCCCTCAAGTGATTTTGTGTAGAACTCAATCCACTGCTTAGATACATACAGTATGTATGACTTGATATGTATGACTTGATATGTTATATCCATTAAGACACCAGGCAATTTGCTCATCTAACAGTATAATAGATAAAATCCCTCCAATCAGGCTGGAATAAATTGCACAGAACTGTTTATTTGTGAGTTGTCTCAAAAACATTCTACTTGTGAAAACAAACTCAAAACTTTGATTTTAGATGTTTTCTGGATTAGATCTGGGGTTAGTTGAGTTGAATCTTCAGAGTTGGTTATAGACAAGAGTAGTGGTTGTGGTCAAGGTTTCAGTGATGGAAAAGGTTTGTTGTGGTTTTCTTAAGGTGGGTGAACCGCTGACCTGACCAAAAGTTGGGCAAGTGAAAAACAATATTTGGCCAACTTTAACTAAACTTTGTTACTGTATCTAGGGAAAACATCATCCATTCCCTGTAGTTTCAATCTTTGCCGTTCTTAAAGAATTTGTGCAGAGATATCTGAGACTCCAACATCATCACAGTTCAGATTTTCACCATCAAGGTTGTTTATCACATGCCATGCCACCCAAGAAGTTATGTTTCCTGCCATATGAGTTGAGGGTTTGACATTTCTGCTTTATTTTTCATTCAGTATTTTAGATTCAATCACGATGTGCAAATTATATTCCCATCAAACTGTGTATAATTTACTGTGGCTCAGTGGAACTCACAGCAGTGCTGCACTCTGTCCTAAGATTTAATGCTTCTGACAGCAAGGCATCAATTTGCAATAACCTTAAAAATGTTTATACATGACCTTAAATGTTATTTTTAAAATACTTCAGTATCCAGTACCAAACGAATCATTACATACAGCCTGATCCAAAACATATAGACGAACAATTATTAAGGAAGACTATGGTTAAACAGTATATTTAGCATCGAACTCCACAGGTGACATGATCGATTCAGTCTGTGAATGCAATAGGTACTGTGTGCGTTCTGTGATATTCAATATTCAGTGTGTTTGCAGCCTCTGAATAGCCCTTCCCTAAGGATTCTGTAACATGCACTGCAACTCAAGAGGCATGTTCTTGTTTTAGACAGCAAATATTTACAAAGCACCAGGCCAAGGAAAATGTTTCACTGCACAAAAATAAGGTAGGTGGCAAAGACTTGTGGAAATGCTGTTGTGCCGTGGAATTTTGGAGGGGCTGTTTGTATTTCATGTTTGACATTTTTATTCGTTTTCTTTTTTTCTAACACTATATTAAGGTCATTAAGATTTGAAATAATAAAAAGTTAAGACTCCATTGCCAAATAGTGACAACATGTTTACTTTTGTATCTAAATGCTCAAACTAGTTTTTCTTGATTTGTTATCAACCTTTTTGTATTTTTAGCTCAAATTTCTTCATATTTCCCGAGTGAGCAAACATGAGTTACTGATTTGTTGAGTGACCTGACATGGATTTAATGCACTAAAATGTACATCATTGATTTTTATATGTTAGCTCAGGGCTGTGATCTACTACATAACTGTAAAAAAACAGTAGTACTTGCTTCTTAAGCATTTTTAACATTAGCATCAGAATAAGTGTAACATTACTACTTTTTCAGATACTTTAAGACAAATGATCAAATGTTACTCTTAGAAATGCTGAATTTACTTTATAAACTTAACAAAAAAAGTCATTATACTGTCTGCTTTTATTATGTAACAGTTAACCCTTTAACAAATTACACGAAACATATTTTTATCACTTGCCTGTTGTGGTATCTAAACATGGAAAAGATTTTGTTATATTTGAACAACTTTTGAGAAATGTGTTTGAGACCTCTGAATGAAATAGAGGTAGTAAAAGTAAGTTAACTTGTGATGCAACAACAACAGCACTAAAGAAATGCATTTAAAAATTCAGCAGTAACCTGAGTAATCCTCAAAACACAGTGTGACTAGTTTTCATTGGGATAATTTCTTCAGTAGAAAGTTCCAGTGAAAACTGTTCCCTGTGAGGTCTGTGGATTATCCATACTAACAGGAATTGTTGTTGTTGATTGTATTTCCGTGGAGGTACAAATGTGAGAAAAGGATATCTCCAAACCACAACTACCTGCATGGCTACATAAAACCAAATGTAAGATAATATGTTTTGTAGTTTGAATGGACCACCCTTTTAAATCACAGGCTGTAATTAAACCACAGTGATAGATTTATGCAACAACACTTTCTGCTGCCAATAACAAAACTTACAAAAAGAGCCCATGGCGCTATTCCTTTCTTTACTGTTTAGTCATACTGGCCCACTGGCCAGTGACAAGACAACTGTGATACTTGAACACTTTCAAACCTGACTGAACTCCCAGCTTCATTCCACACGTTCTTCTCTTCTGCGCTAACACCCCGTCTGTGTTTTTGATCTGCTGAAACAAACACCTCTGATTGCTGATCAAAGACGAGCCGTGACACTGCTCCGGGACGCGTGAGGGTGTGTACTGCCTGTGCGTGCGTGGGAATCTGTGCGTGTGATGAATCACCGTTGATTGTCATGAGCTGCCTGCCCTGCACACATGTTGGCAGGCCATTCTTGCAGGGTGTCAGTGTTACAGTGTATGTGTGTGTGTATGTGTGCGTGTGTGTGTGTGTGTGTGTCTCCAAGTGTTAGCAAGACTGTGAGAAGGCATCTCTTTCACAGAGAAGACAGGTGGCCATGATTTACAGCCTCTTACAGGAATCGCCCCCGTCTGTCGCTTCTATGAGAGCCAATTAAAGCTCAGCGCTCTGCATGCGCACATGCACACACACACACACACACACACACACACAGTTATTACAGTAATAACACAATAACGTGGCCAGTGTGTGTGACACAGAGTAAAGAGCGTGAAACGGGAGAAAAAGGCTGTGAGAAAGAAGTCATTCAGGCTGCAGAAGTGACACTGAAGCAGCTCTTCAGACGCACTCCTCTGTAAATAAGCAGTTTCACACCACCTCTGCTTTCGGTTCATACACACACACATACACTCTCACCGCCTTTCTGTCTCTCTCTCTCTCTCTCTCTCTCTCTCTCTCTCTCTCTCTCTCCCCCATTCTTTCTGTTGCACATGCATACACACACTCTCTTACACACCCAGTCTCACACCGCGAGCCAGCCAGCCAGCCAGTCAGCCAGCCAGCCTTTCGTTCTTCACTCACACCCTCAAATCTTACCAAGCTCAGCTCTCCCTGCTCAGAGGCAGACAGAGCAGCACAGCAGCCTGTTAAAGGAGTTGAGGGGAAGGAGCACCAGAGTCAGAGAGCGAGAGAGACATAGAAAGAGAAAGAGGGAGGGAGATGAAAGAGTGAAGGGGGGAGCAAAAGCAGAGAGAGCGCTGTTCTCCATATGCTGAGGAGGTAGGGGCGGTTGAACAAGCTGCCCCCACTGAAGCCTAGCCTCCTGACTCATGGGAGCATCAGACCCCGATCCCCCAGAGAGCCTGGAAACGCTGCCGAACCACGGGTAAGAGGGAGAAGGAGGGGAGCCAGAGAGGAGAGAGAAAAAAGTCCGGGACAGAGGAGAGGAGAGGGAAGAAAGCCACAACGGTAGGCTGTCCCACTCAACCGCTGTGCCGTGATGACGTCAGAGGGCATGTGACCCAGGCTCTCCAGTGACGGCACATGGAGGGCAGGAAAGAGACGAGTTTTAAAGCTGGTGCCTTTTGGGTTGTGTGAGGGCTCTGCTCGCCTCCCAAACAACCACAGAACCACAGACGTGCGGCTCGGGGTTGGTGTTTGAGGGCGACCTGGAGTGTAAATGGTTAATCGTCGCGGGCCAGCACCAGTCACAAGGACGGCGCTAAGCGAGTAAGTACGTTCCAACCACACTCGCCAAGCAAGCAAGTCCGACACCATCTGATCTATCCGCAAAGGCGATATTTGCCTCTGCAATTTTTTTTTTCTATAAAACCAGACCTGGTTGTTACTTGTGGTCATCCAAATAGTTGATACATAAAAGCATGTCTTGTGGATGGCTTTTCCATTTTTTTTCTTCATGACACGCTGCGTGCTCTTGGTTTAGGACGTGTCAAGGGTCACGGAAACCACAGAGGAACAAAAGTGGGGCTTGCTGCAACCAGAGGCAGCTATGGCATCTAACAGCCTTTTCAGCACAGTGACACCATGTCAACAAAACTTCTTCTGGGGTAAGTACCGCTTCGCCGGTTGCTGTTGTGTCTGGTGTTGGGTTAGGGGCTTGGGTCGCGGGGAGGACTCGGGGTCAGGTGTTGAGGTTTGGATGGAGGAATTAAGGGGGTTTGGGTAAAAGGGGGTAAGTTACTTGGAAATGATTGAAGGATTTGGGTCCAGATGAGTGGAGGGGATCAGCTGAGGTCATTGAGGACCTTGCTATCAAGGTCCAAGCTTTTGTGGTGGAGGAAAGACCCAACTATCATCAAGGCTTTTTGTGGTGCGCAAATACAAAAAAACCCAAAAAACCCTCTCTGCATTTAGAGATTCCAGTATTTACTCTACGTGATGTTTATAAATATTTCTGAAAGAGGGAGATGACATGTTTGTGCAACATACCCTCAGATTTACAAAGCGATGCCATTGCGGAACCAAAAACAAAAGCATGGGTGATATTTTTGACAAACGTAAACAGACGCTGCACAAGAGAGTTTACAGACGAGCATTGAAACAAGATGTGGGGATTACTGGATTGTGTGTATTGGGTGTCTCTGTTGTGCGTAGGGAAGAAGTATTGATTAGTTTGCCAAGAAAGGTCTGTAATCGCTTCCTGAAATTGTTCAGTCGTGCTGCTGTCATTAATTAATCAGTGTCGATTTCTGCAGGCTCCAGGGAGCGTTTAATCGACAGACATAAATCCACTTTGAACAAGAAGTCACTCCATGTCGACTTCCATAATAGAAGTTCAGTAATTTAAGTGCTGGAATAATTCATCTGAGCTTAAAACAATCAATTGACTCTGGCTTATTGCTTCTCCACAAATTACTAAAAATATCAAGTATGATTTTTTGTTTTTGTATAATAAACTCTTGATTGGTGCTTTCTTCCCATAAAAAATATTTATATTTTCAAAGAATAGCACAATCACCGTTTTCAATAAAATGTTTTTCTTCATATTCATCACAAATTCAACATCCCGCTTGGATCCCAAAGTGAAACTATAGGAAATAAGACCACAAAAATCCAAGACCTGTGAACAGTAGCAGTGTCATCTTTATGATTTTCAATGACCTGTGAAGGCCAACTTGCATACTCCAGTTTGCGGCCTCTGTTTTGGGTTTGCTGTATCCTATTGTGACAGCTTCTTTACACAATCTAATTTAATCAACAAAATAAATGATGTTTTAGGTTTACCAGATGAATTTTCAAATTTAAACAAACATTTCCATTCCTGTGCGACTCAAGAAATAGACAGGCTCAGTTTAATAACCCCAGCCCCCCCCTCTCCGCTCCGGTCCATAGCCTCCGCTTCTCTGTCCAAATCAAATGTTTAAAAGATGTTTTTAAGAAGTCGCTCCGTGGTCAGACACAGCTGTTCTGGGCTCCTGCTCCACACACAGAAGCAGGGTGGCTCCTAATGTACTCTGAAAGCCAGGAGAGAGTGAGCGTCTTCTACCAATCACCACCACCTATTACCATGTTAACCCCTGACCTCTCGGTGTGTCTCTGGGGTCGGAGCGCGGGAGAGCAAGCGGAGAGGAGCAGCGCTGCAGGAAATTGAAAGCATGCTGTAGTAGAGGAAGAGAGGAGCAGATGTGTACAGATGTTCAGGTGGAGAGACTCGGTGGAAAGATAATCACTGATCAATTCTCGTATAGTAAGTGCAGTGGATAGATGCTGTGCTGCGGCTCATTGATGTTGCCCCTGTTTATGAACATCTGGGTAGTAAATCTGTCAGTATAACCACAAAAAGTCCCCTTGACAGCGCAATGTGATTTTGCAAGACCACCAGCGCTTTCTGTTGTATTTATGATTTTAAATAAATAAATGTAGGGTACTGTACTGTATCAGAGCTGACTAAATGTAGTATTGACGTTGTAAACATTTTTCTTTCAGTCAGACAAAAATAGGATCTGGATGACATTGAGTTTGAGTATTCATTAGGCTGGGTGAAATTGAATATAAAATGTGTTACATAGATTTTAGATTTTAATACATATGTTTTAAACAAACATTACTACAAACCATTTTGACAAAGAACACAATGTGACTGAGCCTGAGTCTTGCCTTTTGTTGATTTTATATATTTTCTGCGAGTTCTTCTTGCTCCTATGTTTCTCCTGGATCATTTTGTCCAGCGTCAGCCAGTTTGCTGGGAACACAAGTTACAAAATATTGTTTTGTTAGTTAGAAAGCCACATTACTCCATCCCGCCTGTCGATTTGTATTTAAGGACATTTTTAATTTAGGACTGAGCGTACATTCCCAGCGATAAATTGAGCCGACTTGAGGGAGTGGGCAAATATTCCAAATTGAGAAAAGGGGACTCATTAAAATTTGTCTTGGCATTTACATCAAGCAATTCTCATTTAATTGCCTCAAATACATTTTTTATAACTCCTCAGACTGGCAGATCAGATGGGGAGGGCAGAATAATCTTCAACATGTGTGGCACCCACTCAACCACCATGACTCTCTGGGGAACATTTAACTGCCTATTTTCTCTATTACAAACTTAATTACATATAGACAATTAAGTCATGGGAGCAATTATTGTTGAGTAAAGTTGTGCAGTCGCAGTATAGAAAGGGGAAAAAAATGCTTACACAGACGGACCCAAATCAACACGATCAAAAGAAAAGCAGGGTGATGTGGGTAAATATCTGAAGACTCTGGGCGGAAAACTTTCCCTAAAGAAAATCTCCGATAATTTGCAGGGAAACCGTATATGTATTTGAGAAAGGCAGCTTCTGTTGCATAAGTGTTGCCTTAGATCTAACCACAGGCCTGCTTCTTGGAGACATCTTAAAAGTGAACCAGACATTCCCCCCCAGCCAGGGAGAGACGTGAAGCCCACTCATCAATAGGTAATTTGAAAAAGCCAGGGGGAAAAATCTGAGCGCTTCACTGGCTGCTACTGTGCTGAGGAGACTCTTCCCTTAGCTCCAGGCTCAAAGGAACTCTATTTAGCAATGCTTAATTGTACCTCTGAGGCAAACATGTTATTTAATCCCAGCAGGGTCATATTGATGGAGTAAAATGGTGCTGTGTGTGTTTGTGCGCCGCGGCAGCTATTAGGACTTATTAGTGCTGGAGGTTCACATTAGTCTACATAATTCCTGAGGGTAATCAAGGAGGTGCAGTGTGTTAATGTGATCAGTGTTTAATCAAAGATAGATTAATTGGTCTGTATTTTCACGCATATGTACCAACAGTAAATGGTGGGTTGATTATGGGCCTAAATAGGCTGTAGGCAGTTATTAAGGTCTAAATGAGAGTGTCATGGGAACACTATAACCTATGATTTGAATGGCCTGATATACGTCTTTCCCACTGTGGATGTGAAAGTTGGCGAGAAAAGGTTGTCAAGGTATTTGCCCGCTCATAACGCTTACTTTAAATCATTGTATCTGAAATAGGGATAAAAAAAATACAAATTCAATCAATGAAATTGAGACAAAACCAGAGAGTCCCTGATTGAGGCATTTTTTTATCTGTAGTGTCAACTGCCCTGCTTTGTTGCCTCGTCCAGAGCAACTCTGAACTACAGAGACAATGTCTGCTTCTCCTCCTTACAAATGAAGCAGTGAGTAGTTGCTGAAACATGGGAGAAAAGGAGTCTTACGGCAGAGTGAGATTACATCCACTCCTGTAATACGGAGACTGCAACAACAAACGGAGAGTTCAGTGCAAATACTCACAAGGCACTGTGTGTGTTATCCCTTCATTTATCCCCACATTCAGTAGCTAGGGGGCTAATTACACTATTATGATAAAGCAACCTGCCAACTGACTGTGCGTACTGTAGGTTTCTGCCTATTTAAGGTGTTGATAATAGGCTCAAAAACAGTTTTCTCAAAGGAGCGATAAAGCCTATTTGTTTAACACTATGAGTGCGAACATCTCTGTTTTTTCCCCCGTCATAAATCAATGCAAATGTTCAAGATCTGTGCTGTGTTTACTCTAGATGCATGCCAAATTGGTATGTGTTTTTTGGATAGCTCTGCAAACTCATGCCACAGTACGCATAGCTATGATTTTTGCATGCACCATAATTACCAGGTAGCTTAATGCCATTGCGTTAGCCAGTGAAGCTTTTAATGCAGCACTGTGCTATTTTCACACTTAACAAGATCCTGCAGCCCTTCATCCATTTCAATTGCATCATGCTGGGCGAATTACCGTTATCCGATATAAGCCCTCAGAGAGGAAGTAACTACCTAACACTTTGAAAATTGGTCTATCTTGGAACCGGTTCACCCTAATGAAACAGAACACCAGTATTATAACCCAGATTCATATACCTCTTTCACTCCGCTCACTCTTCTGTTTCACGTCCTCTCTTTTCACTCTTCCATTTAAGCATTCATGTTTTATTTTAGTTACTTAAGTCCAAAGATGGCTGTAAGCAGAGCTGATGCAGCAAACCACAGGAAACCTGAACAGCATTGTTTAGCGTTCCCCTCGCTGTCCCGTGAAACGGCCGAGGCGGCTTCGCTTCCACGCTCAGTGTTTCTATAAGGTGGAAATATGGAGTGTCGAGCCTCCTGGATGTTTGGGTTCAGCCTGTAACGATGTGAGTGAGAGCGTGGCCACAGCACCTACACAAGGCCTTACCTGTTCTGCCCCACGCCAGAGAAAAGGGCAGGTTTTTCCCCTTGTTAGTTTAATCTTAAAGGAATGTGGTATCCCCTCTGACTCAGGCCAAAATCCCAAATATATAAACCTACTTACCAGCAGGTCAGGAAAAGAGCAGCATGGGTTGGACGTGTTAGCCATATTTTTTAAGCAATTCTAATTATTTATGCGAGGTAACACATACTGTCGATTGCCAGAGTGCAAACACAGAAGGGTAGGATATTGCTCGGTTTGAAAGGAAAGGGTGAAATGAGATGGGTAAAGGAGCATCAAAGAGTTAGAGCCCTGACTGTGATCAATAGCTTGGCAGCAGGTCAGTGGAGCTGTCTGAGGGGATAAGTACACCTTGTTACAACGTGTCTCCAGACGTCGGTATCAG